AAAAAAAAAATTCAACTATATTTCCCATTTTCAATTTCCCATTCCCCATTCCCCCTTTTAGTAACATCCGTTTTCTTAAGCTTTATAGGTCTTCACTATTCTCATCAGTGTCCGCTCACAGGATCCGAGAGCGCGTGAGTTTTGACATCATCCGCTTTCCAAAGGATCGAAAACTTGTTATCAGTTCTCATGAATTTTTGAGAAGGCAGGAGATTGACTAGAGCAAAATGTCGTTTTGTTCTTCTGGTACCCTCCACGATCGTCTAAAGAGCAAGCTTTGAACACGATGTATTGCCCGCTGTGAGTATTAGAAAACAATAGAAACGTCTGACGTAAACCAACACAGTAAGAAACGTGCAAAAATCATAATCATTACATCATAATCATAATCATAATATCAACAATCATAATACTTTTTCATCCAATTAGGACTCAAACCAAATCCAATCGCTACTCGCTCGCACACGTTTTCCGTCGCTTCGCGTCAGCTACGTGTATTTAAGGACGGTGCCTACTTTTGTTAGTGCGCACACATTCTCTGCATTACGCAGGGCATGGTTTAAGTGCCACGCGCGCCCTAGGTTGACATTATGACGCCATCAACTACGCTACCAAGTACGCGAGTAAAATAAAAGAAAGATCTTCCTGCTATGACCAAATCAAGTTTAATGAGCCTGTACTTAAGCCTGCAACACCAGACTAGAAGCATATCGCTAACCACTAACTGCTAACGTCTTCCAGCTGAAAAACTGGCTGAAATCCAACTGTAAACCTGAACCTGCAGATGGCGTCGTGCGCGCGCAAAACAAGTGCGTGATACGCAAATGTTTTATTTACTGGGGAGGTGACAGGGAAAAATGTAACGGGAACCTTAACAAGATTAATAACTTTAAAAAACGCGTGGTTACCCCTGCATTTTATGTTATGAAATGAAAGTGGCAAGCCTATTCAACACGTGATTAGTTTCTGGTTGTGAACAAAAGATATTTAGACTGTAATTTAGCTGAACCAGTGGAAGGCTGTCAGAGACATTAAAAGCGCGGTTGCAACGATTTTGTTATTAAAAACATACCAAAAATGTTTTTTTGTTACCATTTGGCATGTAGTTTTCAGATATTTATAAATGTGTCTGCTTTTTTGTATGAAAAGGCGAATTCTAAGAAAATCTGTGAAGAAATATCATTTCCTTCTTTTTTCAGAAAAATGCTGATGTCAGCATTTTTGTTGAGATTCAAGGCTAATTATCTCGAAAAAATGCGTGGCTACCCCCATTTTTCCTCGTGGATTCCAATAGCCCTTGCAAAAATCTACTTTTTCCGCGAAGTCCTGACCCGGCGCAAAACCTTTGTATTTAGTAGGCACCGTCCTTAAGAGTTTTGATTGGTTCATTGGATTGTCTGATGGCGCCCATTGTGGCTGGCCAGAGTAATAACGTTTGCTTCGGACTTACGTCGCTCGATTGAAAACCACGCTGATACTGTTGATGGCAACCATGACAAAGAGCCACCTGGTTCATCATTATACCAAATTGATTGCCTCCCTGTTCAAGAACAAACTGGACATCAGAATCTCGAGCTCTAACCTATCTCAGACCAAAATGGTTCAATTACAAAGTGAAACCATACCTACATGACATAGTAAGTGTGTTTCAGTTTCAGTTTCATTTTTTTTTATTATTGGACTATTTACAGAAAAAAACAACTTAACGTAAAATGGTTTACAATGATGTAGCCCGGGTTATTATAATGCTCTTTAATGTTCTTGAACATAAACTATACTATAAGAAGATTCAAACTACTTATGTTCTTGTAGAGGAAACCATGCCCTCGTCCTCATACAGGGAAAAACTCTGAAAAGTTAAGGAGATTCATACCCTGTCCACTTAATATTTAACGATTACAACGTTTCTATCATTTATTCTCATTCTAATAACTTGAGACTGACTTGGAAACTTTGGGGCTTTTCAGTCTCCAGACTCAAATGTACATTACTTTTCTATCCTTCATGTATATATGTATATATATTTGTAAGACCATATGAGTCAATAAAGTTGTTTTTTTGTTGTTGCTGTTCTACGATTGACCTTTAGCTTTGTCAGTTAAAAGGACCTATTAATGGAGGCTTTTATTCATTCTTTTCACAAATGATGTCGCCCTTAAGGTCATCAAAGTTGATGTGACCCCAATTGTCAGAGCTGTAATCAATAAGTTTAACGCGAGCGGTTTGGTTAATGAGGTCTTGGACGGCCCAGCTCTTACGATACATCGTCTCGGTGCAGTTACCAGTCTCCTGTCGAACAACCTGAAAACAGAAAGTTATGCTTTGGTTAGAAAGGGAGATTGCTGAGCCCTAGTGGAGCTATACAGAAAAATCTTATGTCGATAACCTTCATTCAATGAGTTGAGTGACTTAAAGCAAAAACACGTAGAAGAACTTTCTACGGTACACAATTGTTCTCTACCCAACGAAATGTCAGCGTGAAGTGTACAAGTCGAACTTTCTCAAGCCGATAACCTGATTTAAAAGAATGTCGGTTATCGTGCCCTGGCTATTACTTTAAGAAAAATACGCTACCGTGTGGCATTAAATTTTCGTGAGATCTAATTTTCAGGAATTTCGCGGATTTTTCATCGATCCGAGAAAATTTAATCCTGTGAAAACAAATTCCCGCCAAAAAACAACTTCCGCGAGAATTTTCTCCTCTTATTTACCTCACTGAAATTCAATGAAATTGGTTACAAACAGTGTCACGAAAACGACCTACCGTATTTTCTTTACAATAATTACAGTAATGCAATTAGAGTCTGCTGCCGGGATCTTTACAAATTTGCATTTTAAATCAACTCTGTAAAGATAAGGAGAGCTATCTCCTGAAATCCGTACATGAAATTCGCACAAAATTATTCCCAGGAGCAAAATCTGAAATCAAAATTCGCGAAAATTTGTTCCCGCAAAACTCGAAAAATCTAAAATTTGCGAAATTAAACTCCCGCGAACATCTCATGCCACACGGTATACGAAACGTTTATTTAGGCTAACACACAAAGAAACATTTTTCCCCGGAAAGGCTGAATCATACCTACTTTTCCTGAGGTGCAGTTGTAGGCAAATAAGTATAGGTTTTGCTTCTCACAGTTAAGAAAACACTGTTACATTTGATTCTCTGGTTACCTACATGGTTATACAGTTCAAGACTTTTTATTGACGAACCAGTTTGGAAACGAGATTATTAACCTATTTCGGAAAGGAGATTTGCAAACTAGTTCAAGTTTTGAAACGATATCCCACATTTTTAATTGAGAATCGAGAGTCCCAAACTAGTTTGGAGACGAAAATCCCAATCTATAGTAAGAGGTAACGCGATTCTCAAACTTGCTCAGCAGTGAGTTTTAATACTCACCTTGTTATCGACAATTAGCTCTGCGCGAACCACGGTCGCATTGCAGCCTCCACCAATGAGAAACGAGATATCTTGACCTTTGATAAGGAAGGAAGCAGACGTGAGAGTTCCCTGGGGTATATCGCGTTGAAGTTTTCCCGCTTCCATGTGTCTGCACGGCCGATCCTCGGCTCCCCCTATCCACCAGTCGCCCTGGTGATTGGAAGGCTCTCCTCTGTTGCGGGCAGATGGGTTGTCACCAAAAGTCGGCTGGTTATCGAACACTGTACCAGTTTTTTCCCAGCCAACAATGCCACTTTCGAAATCAAAATTGCACGCTGTATAGAAAAAATTCCATGGAGTAAGTCATAAATTCTCGAATCTTCCTCAAAACCTCTCCTAGGTTTTTGTTTTTTCTTTGCAAAAGGATAGTCTTTTTTAAGTTCATAATGATTATAAACTGAACAAGTATTTTCTACAATAAACAGGGCCACCGCGCCATTTTAAATTCTTAAAATGCAGTATTAAAGCTTTAATCATGGCCAAACTTTCTTAAATAATAGCAGAAACATTTTGGTGTATTCTTCAACCATTTGATAACATGCTGTAACTTGCGGTTTCTATGATAACCACGCTTTTAAAGGACGATTGACCAAATTTATGTGATTTGCAAGCATAATTTTGTAGGTTAACAAAATTTAGGTTCATGCCAGTGCAAAGCTGTCACAGTCTTTGCGTGCATTTTAGAATTTTTCACATCAATTTCAGATAATTTTTGGCTAGTTCGAAGTGAAATGACGTCATGATTGCCGCTAATATAAGCAGTTGTGTGTTTCATGCACATCATATGTACATTTGATCACTGTAGGAAATATTTATGGGGGAGGACAGCTGTAAGGCTTATGAACGTAATCAAAGCTCAGCCTAAATAGACTTGTCACGGACTGAAAGTTCTGGGTAAGAGAACAAATCATAGTCTCCATGCACCTTCTTCTTCGCAATATTCCCCAATGAATGGTGGAGGACATTTACAACGAAATCCTTTCGCAGTGTATCCCACTTGACAAATGCCATTGTTTAAACATGGGCTGCTGCTGCTGCAGGGATTCTGTTGAAAGAGGGATTAGAATATTGAACCAAAGCGATACCCAGATGTACATTTAATTTCAAAGCTTAAGACATATGCTCTGGAGATCCAGGGATAGAGACTGAATGTGGAGGCTATTATCAATACTGATCGAATGACTAAATGCACCACTGATTCAAAGAAAGGGCGAGATGCGATTTACAGTTCTTTAGAGCCTGTGTTTCTCATTTCTTGTCATTATCCGCTTGGGAAGGTTAGACCTTTCCGTGCGCTTGAATTGGGGCCATCAAAAATTAACAATCAACAGCAGCAAAAAGTAAAAACAACATGTAGCACTAAGCTTAAAGGAGCTCAGTCACGGTTTGCGCATACTGAAACGTTTAGCCCCAATTTTTCAAATTCGTCGTTTGTAATCCGTGTTAATCTTCTCCATCCTTAGCTATCCTTGTTCCTTTATGGTTTACCATCATCTCTTTGGTGTTTTTCTATCTTATTAAACCGTTATTTTCAGGTTTCCTACCATTTAAAGGTAACTTTGTATGTGGCCAAAATAACTCCAAATACCGTGAGTGAGCTCCTTTAATGCGATTCTGTAGGGTATGCTCTAATTTTCCAACAATAGAGACCTTTAGATCCACGTTTACCGCAAACGTCAAACTGCGGTTTGATGTTAGACGTTTGCCGTTCGCCATTCGGACATAAACCGATTTAGATTGAAGTCAACTGGAGCAAATAGAAATCATCCTGTCAATACAGTAGAAATTTGTCAAAATAACGTCGAATTTGAAAAAAAAAATTTTTTCTAGCATGTGTAGTTTTCTAAAGAACTACAGCATCATAAAACACACATTCGACTTAAGCCGCCGCCATATTGGATTTCCACTTAGGATAAGTGCCTTTCTACAAATAACAACAAAGGGCTAGGTAATTGCTTATTTGCCTGAAACATTCAACCGATTTGTAGAAAAAGGGTCACTTTATTCGATTTCAGCATTTGTACGTGACATAAAATACAATTCAAGGCAATAAAGCTTGTGGTAAATGACTTACGTGAAAACCTACTTCTTGACGTTCAAAACGCGAGTCGAAAACCTCAACCGTGACGTCTGGCTCGGGTCACGTGATCCCTAGCGGTTAGCCGTTTGCGGGAAACGTGAATCTAAAAGTCTCTAATACTGTGGTCTCACGCATTGCCGAAACTAACGCGCCCTTTTACAATCACACTCTGATATGTGACTTGAAAACATTGACCTGCCTATTAACGAAGAGCGCACATACCCACAAGAGATACAATTCCAAAAGGAATCGCTCTGCAGCTCAAAACGAAAAAAAAATTACCTCAACTGCAAGGTAGATATAATTTTTCTTTTCACGCAATGTAACGGCAACTAGGTTTTCTTCTGTAGCATTATTTAACTCGCATTTGTACACTCCTCCATTCAAAGGTCCAAAATTTAGGGACATGCAGTTGGGCTCCATATAACACATGACTCGGCAGCTCCCTTGATTGGCTACTACTTCCATCCTGAACACATGACCTTTCATGACTTTGTTTGGTATTGGTTCCTTGAATATGATGATGCGGCATTCATCATCTGTGAAAAGGAAAAGGAGGGAGTTGTAATATTCATTCTCTCCGTATCTGAGCCCGAGCTTTTTCCGACCCCTTAAGGGGAGATTCTGCGTCTAAAATACATCATTTGACGTTAGCAACATGGGATGGTGACATTCATCACGTGAAAATTGCGTCATGTTATCTTAACAGCTGCCAACTTGGATTCGCCATCTTGGATTCCTTGTTTTCTTTTTTTCTTTTTTTTTTTTCTTTTTTCACAAAGCACTAGCGTAAGAAAAGCACCAAAAGTTACCGAAATAAATTAACAGTGTTTAAAGTCCTACAATAAATTATAACAACCTCGTGAAAGGTATAATGTTTTAAATGTTAAAACATAAAATGCCGAAATGTGAAAATAGAAACGTGACTGTCAAAATACGGTTAATATGGAAACATCTGGCTCTGAGAGCAATAACGTGTCATACCATGTCATAACGTTTATTGATTTTAAATTGTTATTCAGAACTGTCATAATTTAACATGAAACTATTTACACCTCGCCTGTACATATTTAAACGACACTTGCCGTTATTTTTTATTTCGAACTTCATCATGCTGTCAAGATGACTTCGAAACGTCGTTTTTTACCGATGATATCCATTGTAAAATGCCCGAAAAAATTATTCTGAGGCAAATGTTATATTAAGGCGCCAAGTTTTACTGGCTTTTTTGGTCAATATCGGAAAAGGTTTATGCATTTAAAGTCAGTGGGAACACTTTCCTCCTGTCATCGTATCCTGCGCTTTAATTACAAAATTCTTCTTCTTCTTCTTCTTTTTCCAAATTTGGATACTCGATGAAATACACGGTACTACATAGAAGATCTCCATACAATTACACCCAACGCCGACTATATTGCAGAAAGGGTTTTTTCCCAACTAAGGTGGTTTTAATAGCTTCTGTCTAACAAAACGGTTAATCCAGCGAGGGGATTGTGGTTTACGTAACCGTGTTGATTTTATCCGTGCTAGTAGTAGGTTTAAGTCCTCCATTCTGCAACTGGTTGGCTCAGTATTTTTGGATACTCGTGTCATGTCGGTAACTCCATGTAAATATCAAACTGCTTCCTGTTGCCTGACAATTTTGAGTCTTAATAATGCATTGATACTTGGGTTTACTGATACCCGAAGGCCGTACTTTTCTTATCGTTTCCTTATCGTTATCGTATCGTTCGCGAAAAAATTCGCTCGAAATTTAATCCACAGGGAAAAAAAATGAATAGCGATGAAAATAGTACTGACAGCAGCGAAAACTTGCGTTTTTGTTTTATGCGTGCTGTTGACAATAGAAACTCTTGGTTGTGGACGGGAAATTAAAATGTTTGGATGCAATTTTTTTTTTGGTTGTTTGTTTTTTTTGCATTAGTTCTTGTGTGTTGCTCATTATAGATATAAAAAAAATAAATAACCCACGACAATTTACGATTTACTCCAATGCTAAGTCCTGCGAAAATAACAAGTATTCCATACGCAAAACCATGCCCAAATTAAGCTGTTTAAGGTGCCCCTAACCCCCAAATTTTTTTTCGCTAAAACGAATCTAGGCTTTATTTGAAGCATTTGGGCGAAGAAAGTTTTGAATTTGGTTGAATCCTCGATTTTCTATACCCTTTCAAAGTCGCGCTCGAAGTGTTCCTGATGACGTCCACCCAGGAACCAAACACAACGGCACCTCAGTCAGTTCTCTGTATTTGCTGGAGAAAATCGAAAACAAAACTAATCGTTCCGATGTATTTTGGGACTAAAACGTCCAAGCTTTGTCTCAGAATCATCTCTGGAGTCAGAGTTAAGTTTCGATTTGGAAGACACCAAAATAAACTTCGATCGAGCACGTTCGACAACTGTGAACTCACTGCTTAGAGCTGTGAGAGCAATTTACAATATTTCAAGCGACGAAGGGGAAGACCTCTTTGCCGACGAGCTGCTTGTATATTAGGAATGGAAAGCTAGATACGAAGTAGAGGAGCAGGCAAACGAAAAGCAGGAAAGAAAACTCAAGGACTGC